ATTATATGCCAAAATAATTAATTCATCTAGATTATCTATAAATAAATAATGTGGGAAATCATATGGATTTATGTAAATTTCTTTGAAATTATAATTTGAAATTGTAAATAATTACTATTTTTCGAATATATCTGTGGCAATCAATTTGCCATCTATAGTAATAGCAAATAAGACATCTTTTAAAATTTCAGCACCTAGGATCTCCATTTAAAATGGTAATGTAATTTGTTAAGTTGCTTGTAAAGAATGATCAAATTATTGTACTAATACACTATTTTTAAACTACATAAGAACATTGATATATTATGCAGTTTTGATGCATGAGCACTTCTATAAATGTAAATGAGTCTCAATATTGAATCTTTATTATGAACTTGCTGGATTTTCTATTGTTAGAATAATTGTATCATTAATATATTAAGTACAATATAATTATGATTATCTTGAAAATGAACATGCTATTGAATAAGTTGCATCATATACTGTCCATTCTCCAAACCTAGTTCCTTCAATACCTGCGTAAAGATAATTAGAATTACTAGATGAAATCGATAATGTTAAATTTGGACCTAAAAATGCTTGACTTCTATCTATAACTTTATCTTAAGGAAATATTAAAATTAAATCATCTATATATTAATGAAATTAGATAGGTTACTAATTTTCTGTAACATCTAATTGAACCAATTAGATTTAAAAAGCATATTCCATAAATTTATTATTTAACTAAGACATTACTTATATATCCAGTTTTACAGGTAAAACCATACTTTCTAATTATTCAGCAATATCTTAAGAAATAAATATTGAAGGTTCATTAATTAAGTAAGTAGAAATTATGGTTTAATCATTAAAGAATTCTTAAACAACAACAATATTCCTCAATAAATAAAAAAATGCATATGTTCCAGATTATATTAGTTAATAACCTGTAGCTTTAATGGACTCCTTTAATTCCAAGTCTATAATGAATGTGTCTGTAACAATGAATATATTATCCAAAGTCAATTCTATTTTGTTTATTTTTTAATACTCATTCAAAATATATGAAATTGATTAGACCTATATATTAATATAATTAGTATCTATAAAAAAAGATCTGAGTATTTATTATTATAAAACTATTATGTGAAGCAAGTTATTACTAATTTGAAAAGTTGAAAAATATGATATGGGTTAAGGATCATCTTAAGTTTAAATATTTGCATTAAATATTTCTTGAATACTACTATTTTAAACTAAATCAACTAAATAAACATTTTCAGAATTTATCAAAAAAAGATAATTCTAATAATCAGATAAGAAAGCATTTGAATATGATCCATTAAATATTAATTCAGATGTTTATTCTATATCATCTTAATTATAAGTAAAATAAACAATATGAGCATTTTTTTGTGTTGTGTATATCAAACAAAATGTAAATTATGTATTATTTATAGATAAGATTTAGACAATAGGGTTATAAAATTAGGATTCTATCTAATAATTTATGACAATGTCTGTCAATTCTAAGCTTGTTGAATTTAACAATGTAAATTATAATTCACCATCTTCTAAGCTACTAAGCATTCCAAAATCATTTGTTATTAAGTTTATTTAGAAATAATCTAAAAACAATACAAAAATATATATTACATTTTGAAATTGTAATATCCAAAAAATTCATATATAATTCTCCATTACTTTTTATTAATCCCTTGTAAAGTTTATTATTTTAAGTTAAAACCCAGCAAATGTTAGTGTTAACTCCAGAAAGGGAAACATAATTACTTCCAATTCTTATTGATGAATAATCAATGCTACTTGAATTCATCTGAAAAATTTGAGATATTGCTTAATCAATTTTTAAGTTGAATTCGCTTGAACTTAATAATTTGTAGAATGGAGCTTCAACGATCTTGAAAGTATAATCTCTCAAAAATATTGTATTAGAATTTCGAATTTCCAAAGGGAAGTTATATTTCTAAGTTTAAGGAATTGTGACATCACTTAAACATTATTTCAAAATAGCTATAAACAGCCAAAAATGTTAAAATTTCATTAAATTATTTAATTAATGATATACAAAAAATATATGCTTATATATATATTAAGATATTTTAATAAGCAAAGACAACTTATGAATAAAATATATTCTTTATTAAAGAATGCTTAGATATATATACAACATTAACAATTGCACCAATATTTCTAATTGAATTTTATTATAAAAATTAGAAATAACTCTTCGAATTAATTATTCTAATAAATACATGATACTCATGATCTATTATATAATTGCTTTTTAATTATTCATTAAGATTTAACTTAGTTATAGGAAATAATCAATTTATCTGATAAATAAAATAATCAATAATTATTAAATTAAATATCATCTTTTAGTTATTTTAATAGTGATTATGAATAAAATAGAAAATTATTAATGCATGAAAATAAAAATAATATGGTATTGAAAATTGTAATTATAAACATAGTCCTTTGGTACAATATGTTTCTATGATTTACCATGTCAACAACATCGTCAACATTAATAGCTTGGGTACAATATTTTATTTAGATTCATATTCTTTGGAAAATATCATCTCAAAAATTCAATTATTTAATCTTCTTAAACAATATATTTTCTGAAATGTTTAATAACTAAGAGTCGATTTGCCAAATTATAATATATGCTGGAGTATATATAATCATGAATTTCTGAAGATAAAGTTATTTTTATATTTCCTTTAAAAATTTCCATTCAATTTTATAATAAATCAACCACCCATTCTATTAAATTAATACATATGAAGAATCATCAATAAATTAAATCCTCATTCCTGCAGAATTACAACATTCGAATTAGAATTATGGATCAAATGAAAAAACTCTTAATTACATATTTGCTCCACATGATAGTAATTTTTATTAAGAATTATTAAGGCTGATTCCAAAAATTACTTTTTTTGATTCTTATATAAATTCTTATTCAAAATAAATGAAAGGTATTTTTAGATAATAAGTAAAAATTTTAATTTTTTAACATCCAGCAATTCACAAATTTCTGATTGAATCAAAAACCAGAACTTTAATTCCTACATCATTTGAAATTCTAGTTAAATGCCTCCAGTTATTATTTCCAAGATACTCTCAAAGGATAATTAGGCGATCACTATCTCCATCACTAGAAATTAAAGTATCAGAATCCTTATCAATTAAATGACGGCTTATTTCCTAATCATATTCCTCTAAATCTGTAATACGATTCATTTAACTTGTTAAAAACTTCATATAACAATTACATTCTTTTTTGCTGTTGCTATTAATTTATTATTTCTATTAAAGCTTAAAGCTTAGCATAGTTCAGATTATTATATTTTATTTAATAAATTGCATTTAAAATTTTATTACTGAATTGAGTATTGCATTTTAATATTTCCTTTATTAAAATTTTCGATAATTTTTGTTATTTGAAATTATACATTTTAAAAGTCTTCATTTATTTTCCCTTAAACTTTTTAATCAAATTCTTGTTTTCCATTTAAGAAATATATGTTAAGTCTTTATTTAATTTTTATCCTTAATAAGCAATCAGGATTATCTAATTATGATCCAGCAATTCTATCAATTATTTCTATTCTTTCTTAAAATTATAAATTGGAATCATTTTATAAGTTTTTAATGTTTTTTAAGACAGTATTAGATTAGAAAGACTTCATATTTATTTATTATAATTATATCTTCTTGTTTCAAAGCTAATTTTAGGCTCAAAAAATTTCATCAAATCTTATTTCAAAAATTCTGGCAATTTTAATCCATTTCTAAAAACAATTCTTTCATAATCTTCTTTCTTTAATATTTGGATCATTTGATATGCACTTATTCCATTTTTTCTTGATGTTTTGGCCAAGTTATTTTATCAAATGATTATTGGTTTTCAATATAATTAAACACTTTTTTCATAATATCTTCAACCTTATTTCTTTCAATCTCTGAATTATGATGATATCTTTAACTTTACACTAATGAACTTAAAATTTTGCTTTTATCTATTTCTAAGGTTTTATTAAAATATTGTTAACATTCGAATTTTTCAATAGGGAGAAGAAATATGTATTTTCTTTGAAATTTTATATAATTTATTTCTATGAATTAAAAAATAGAATAATATGATTCCAGAATTATCAATTATACTGTAATTACTCAATATAAAAACTTACCACCTCAAGAGTGAATATTTAATTCTGATTTGATGGAAATTAATCATTCTAATCTAAAGGGGACATATCCACATCATTTCCTAGCCCTTATTTCAGGGGTATTATTTTTCTTTCTTTTATTATATTTCTTCATCCTCTAATCTAATAAAAAGTTTTTAGATAAATTTTTCGAATGTATTAACTAAAGAAATTTTCTCACAATTTTCTTTAGAAAATTTGGACAATGGTTTGTAATTATTAATAATTAATCAAAGGATGAGCAGCATTTATAAAATCTTGGAATTCTATTATTGTTAATTGAATAAAAAAGATCTTTTCTAATAATTTATAATAATGATGCATAGGATTTCAATCAAAAAAATTTGAGAATTAACTAATTATGTATTTATCATATTTAAGGGAAAAAATTTCAAAATTATTTTCATTAATTATCCTTTTATAAGAATTTCTAGATATTAATTTAATATACCTTAAACCAATGTTGTCTTAACCCTTTTCCATATTTTCAGATGAGTATGCGATTATTTCCATGAATATAAACTTGTGAATTTCAGGAATTTTTTATGCTTATTCTATTTAACATCTTTCAATTTATCATTTTGTGCCATATAATCAAAATTATCACCAAAAAACATTAAAACGACATAAAAAATGCTTAATGATTTTTTATCATTAAACCAAACTTATAAAAATTAGAGGTTTCCTTCCTTGTAACATTGTGAATTAAATAAATCCCTTATATGTTTAAGATGCTTAATAATAATAATAATGATGAATGCTGTAAACTAATTTATTTCTTATCTCTCTGATCTAGCAGTATTCCAAAAATTTTAGTTTATTAGACATTATCACTCTTAGCAACCTTTCTCAAGCCAATCTTATCTGATATTCAATCTAAGCACTAATTATTTCAAGGTGTCTTTTCTAAAAGGAAACTAAATTTAATAGCTAACTTAAAACTTTAGTAACTTTTCATATCTATATGAATTTAGTATTAATTAAATTGTAATGTCAATTATTTTATATCTGCCAAAAAGTAGTTTCTAGGTATTCAAACTAATATATCGAAGATTATAATTACAATATTGGCATTATATTTTTGTACAAAAATATAGTAGGTTGTCCTTCAAATTACAAATTTTTTCATGCTCTACTGATAGTATATTCCTAGCATGAAAATTATAAAAAGCCCAGAGAAACTTTATATGACTTGATAAGCAGTGTAAAACATTTAAGGAGAGAATTCTTAAATAAAAGTTTAAACTTGAAAGTTATTTGAAGCTCAAAAGATTAAGCAACCATCAATTCTAAAATTTAAAGTGTTAATATTTATAAATTTAACTTTCTATTGATGGATGCAGATCCATTTAATTTTTCTAATAGTCTAGTCTCAAATATAAGAGATTAACTTAAATAAAAGTTTCCCAAGAAGTAAGTTGTCTTGTATTTTGTAAAAAATATTATAATATCTTTAATTTGGCTTCTAAAATAGAAGGTAAAACTTAAATTCTATTGTCAAAATTATGATTATCAAATAAAAATAGTTTTGTTTCATATTTAAGATTAGGTCTTATATAATTTTGATTTTCTTTAGTTTAGAGTACAGCTAAACTTTGAATTTGAGGCATCATGATTTTTGAATATAATTATTCTATGTTTATGTTTGAGTTAGTTAGTTTTAAGACATACCTAAATTTTGTTATCGAATAATTATAATTATTGAATTGCTTCTTAAAAACTGTTGAACCAGTTTATAAAATTTTTGATTTAATAATAAGCTTAAAAATTCTGTAGAGAAGCATTAAAAATTAAGATCTTAAAATTTTATCTATTGTTATTCAACTTTTACTTATCAGTTATAACTCCAACTTCTTCAAGAATAAAGTTCATCCTAAGATTAAAATATAAGCCTTTTACATTTAATATGAATTTATCTAATATATAAATTCTAAACCAAAATTATAACAATTTCCATTAATTTTTAGGTTATAAAATGTTATAAAAAATTATTGTTGACTAATATTTGCTCTGTATGTTAAAAAATAAATTTGTTAAAATATATGTTTAAAAATTAAAAATTTAATGACACTAATAAATTAATCTTTTGAGAAACTTCTTCCTATTTCTAAAAAAAAATATACAATTTAGATAAAATTTTATTAATTTGTATTTGACAATCACCAAGTA